CGAATCCGTTTGAGACACTTTCGAATGTTGTTCAGACTCAACCAGCGAATTTGAGCCCTTGAAGCATTGAACGGCTTCTTTTCGATTGCACAACGGGCATGAGCTCTAAAAAAGATTAAATTTGAATTAGCATTGAAATTGAAAGCTTTTTTGACAGTTTCAAGATTTGATTCTATGTAAACTAGTTGATTGGCTGAAATGATTACCCAATGGTCTAAGCCCGATGCAACTGGTCTTAAACCGATTTTAGAGTTAATTAAATCTGGTTTTATTACCGCTCTCTGATAGATCGGTCTGAAGCTCAAATCCACCTGAAAGCTTTTCAAAAGTCTCGGAATTCTCCTTCAAATCGCTTGGCTTCCCTTTCATCTTTTCATTCTCATTAGCCGATTCTTCGGCAACTCGGCTAACTTTAAACCGATTTTAGAGGTTAATTAAATCTGGTTTTATTACCGCTCTCTGATAGATCGGTCTGAAGCTCAAATCCACCTGAAAGCTTTTCAAAAAGTCTCGGAATTCTCCTTCAAATCGCTTGGCTTCCCTTTCATCTTTTCATTCTCATTAGCCGATTCTTCGGCAACTTCGGCAACTTTAAACCGATTTTAGAGTTAATTAAATCTGGTTTTATTACCGCTCTCTGATAGATCGGTCTGAAGCTCAAATCCACCTGAAAGCTTTTCAAAAAGTCTCGGAATTCTCCTTCAAATCGCTTGGCTTCCCTTTCATCTTTTCATTCTCATTAGCCGATTCTTCGGCAACTTCGGCAACTTTAAACCGATTTTAGAGTTAATTAAATCTGGTTTTATTACCGCTCTCTGATAGATCGGTCTGAAGCTCAAATCCACCTGAAAGCTTTTCAAAAAGTCTCGGAATTCTCCTTCAAATCGCTTGGCTTCCCTTTCATCTTTTCATTCTCATTAGCCGATTCTTCGGCAACTTCGGCAACTTTAAACCGATTTTAGAGTTAATTAAATCTGGTTTTATTACCGCTCTCTGATAGATCGGTCTGAAGCTCAAATCCACCTGAAAGCTTTTCAAAAAGTCTCGGAATTCTCCTTCAAATCGCTTGGCTTCCCTTTCATCTTTTCATTCTCATTAGCCGATTCTTCGGCAACTTCGGCAACTTTAAACCGATTTTAGAGTTAATTAAATCTGGTTTTATTACCGCTCTCTGATAGATCGGTCTGAAGCTCAAATCCACCTGAAAGCTTTTCAAAAAGTCTCGGAATTCTCCTTCAAATCGCTTGGCTTCCCTTTCATCTTTTCATTCTCATTAGCCGATTCTTCGGCAACTTCGGCAACTTTAAACCGATTTTAGAGTTAATTAAATCTGGTTTTATTACCGCTCTCTGATAGATCGGTCTGAAGCTCAAATCCACCTGAAAGCTTTTCAAAAAGTCTCGGAATTCTCCTTCAAATCGCTCTAATCCACCTGAGCAAACTGCTTTGAGAGCAAGATTCGTCTATTTGCGAACCTTTCGGCTCTGGTTCACAATAGCTGATCATTTGATATTATTGGAGAGTGAATGGAGAAGAGACGAGAAGCTTCGTAACATTTGATGGATTTGGTCATTCAGCAAAGCCAAGACTTTCCAAATCTTCCAAGATCAAAGATCTTTCTATTCTTGAATCTATCAACTTGAGAGTTTCCTTTAGGATTCAGTTTCGATTTTGTTCGCATTTAAACTCGCTTTTAGGTAATGATGGACCTACTAAAAAAGTTTCGCCAAAAATTTGCCAAGTATTACGTTATAATTTAACATCTAAACAGGGCTTGTTTGTTCCATTTTTGGCCATGGTCTGGTCTGTGCAAACTTTTCCGAGCTGTTACAACAATTTCTTCATTTGAGCACTAATAGTTGAAAAAGTTTTGTAGTCGGTGGGTACTTTTTGGATAGTTTTTCCTTGAATTGTTTCTAAGAGAGCCAATTTCTTCTAGAATGCAACAAATTGAGCTAATTAGAAGTGTTCCTAATAAACAAGAAGCTTATTTCTTCACAGAATCTAAACTTTAGGCGACTTGTTTAAGCTTGCTAGAATTTCTTTTTTGTATAAAAATCCATTTTCTTTTTGGTTTCAAGTATGAGGGTGAGTGCTAATTCTTGATAACACTTTTTGTTTTTTGTCTTATCAAAGAGCAAAGCATAGCTTTTTATTAATTTTTAATATGATAATCAGACACGCATTGCCTCGCATTGGGCCAAGTTTCATCCCGATCTATTGGCTGAGCTTCAAGCAGGAGGCTTTTGTTTGAAACCAGTCGATTTGGACTCTTTGATCTTCTGTGAACCAGATTTTTCTGCGACTCCTAAACATTTGCAGCCAAAAGTTAGTAGATACTTTGCAGAAGATAATTTGAATAAAAACATGTACAGGGTGCGGCAAAAGTTCTGACACTTTTTTTCAAACGACTGTATGATGGTCCGCCAACATTTTCCGAATCCGTTATGGTGTGGGCCGGCATCTGTGCCACAGGAAAGACACCTCTTGTGTTCATCGATCGAAATGTGAAAGTCAACGCTAAGATCTACCAGCAAAAGGTGTTAAAGGATGTCTTAGAGCCCTGGGCAGCGAATCATTTCGGACAAACTGGATTTCACCATTGTGCAATATCCATTCTTTGGCTACTACTTATCGACTGTGGCATTGCAACTGAACTCAAATGCTTCCACATGTATTTACACGCTTGGACTGAGGTTCTGCTACATTTTCTCGGTTTTAACTTTCATACCTTGCTTAGTTATTTAAACATGGTCTTCCTGAAAAAGAAAAGTACAACTCAACTCAACTTCTCAATCCGTCATGAGTATAACGGTCACCAAGACGAAGAGCTCTCACTCGACACCCCAAATTCTGATTTCATTTGTCGTTTTCGTGAAAAACATCTTCCAATACAATTTATTCAAGAAAATACAAGAATTGAACATAACACTCGAGATTTGCCGTTTTCGATTTGTCGTTTTTCAGCTGCAGAAGGCGGCTCCACTAATGCAGGCACCACCATTCAAATAGCCTTTTGCGAAACAACAAGTGGCGATGTTCTAAAAATGGACATTTTTGAAATTAAATGAGAAACTTGTGTCATTAATGTTAATGTTTCCAAGTAAACCCGGATCCCACCTTCTTATAATCAATCAGTAATTGCAGTAACGAGTCCGAGTTTTTCACAATTGAACTAACCGGGCAAGATGAGTCGCATAACGGGACGGGATCAGCGTTGACCATGGAAACAGCGGCTAAAATCATTGATTTCTTTTAAATTTTGAAGCTAGACGGGCTATCTTTCTAACAAAAACTTTGAGCAATATACTACAGTTTCTTATAGACACCTTAAAAGCATTTTTTTAGTGAACCACAATCGAACCTTGCCTGTTTGAGCATTTATTTCTAACAGTAGGTACCTTTTAGAAGGGGCAGTTCTGAAAAGGCCACTCTTTAGAGCTTTAGCTTAGTAAGGTTTCATTGTATTTACACTTGAACGCACCAAAGGCGAGAAGAACGGCGAAGAGAAGAGCAAGGCAAGAGGAGAGAAGACTCATTGTTTCGGTTTGAAGTTGGGAACTGGTGCCAGATGGAGGTCTTTAGACCTAAATCTAAAAAAAACGAAAACAATTCAGTGTATCAGAAAGCGTTAGCATCAGATTTCTCTTAGGTAAAATTTTAGGTAGAGGACTACTCATCCCGGAATCTACTTTCTCTTTTCTTGAGTCTTTGACTTTTCTTCTGACTTTTTTGACTTTATTGGTTGCTAAGCCAAGCGAAGCTAAGCGCGACACGGAGTGTCCTCTTTTTCCAAACCTCCTGTAAAACTAGATTCTCAGCCAGCTTTTATATTTCCCATTGTATTTTCGCGAGCTCAATAATCGAAAATTGCGATGAAATGTGAAATTATTGAATTATTTTCCATGTGATTAAGGCAAATTGATCGGATGATTTTTTGAAATACAGCTTCTCTGTAAAACAGTCTCGACTTTTTCACAACCGGAAAAATGCCCGGTTAATTGGCAAGGTTTAAGACAGGCTTTGCTTCGAAATTGAACATTTAAAAGCCATTTTAAAGCCATTTTTAAGCTATCTTTCCCAAGCTACAGTGCTTGATCGGGTTTTTTTAAAAAACCATGTTTCAAATTTTTTGAATTAAGCACTTCCTTCGCTCGATGAATAGATAAAAGATAGAGAAAAAAACGTTTGATAATTCGGTTGCAGCTTTCTTCTAAGCTTCATTTTGAGACCATAATTCATTGTGAGAAATCTAGTGGATTTCACGATCAAAAAAATCATGTTTCAAAGTAGTAAAGGTGTAAGCGATTTGCGAAATTTTAATACGAGGTACGTTTAGATGTGCTTTAACTTTGAATCTACACGAAGGGTTTAGCTAAACTGAATGCTTTTTTGCACCCCTTTTCAAAGGTGACAGAAAGATAGGCGGACAGTGCGACGATGGCAAGAAGATAAAAAACCAAGCAAGCTCAAAAACGGACTAGTGGCGTTTCTGATCGTTGAAGCAATGTTGTACTACCTCTTTTGGAATTCTCGTTTTGAATTTTATTCACGGATAAAAAAAACGGTGTTAAGTCGTATGGTGTTCAGTCTTGCGTTTATCATCAATCGTTTGGTGGCTCCGCGTCAGTCCAATTCACTTTCCTCTTTGTGCGTCTTGGACAAGAGTTTCATTCAATTGTTTTAGTTGAAATGTTGCTAACGAAGTCTCGATTCTTTATTGTTTTTCGGAGTTTAACTTTAACAAGATGTTATTCAAATGGAACTCGGACATTGCTCGTGCCTCGGCCCCTGACTTCTGTGAAAGGTTTGAGTAAATTATTGCGTTTCTATTTTTTTTAGTTACACGAACCCTGCGGCAACGAACCAATGAATCGAATAAAGGACAAGAAAGTGAAAAAACCAGCAATGATGACAAGGAGGAAAAGCAAGAAGAAGAAAGAGGTAACTTTTTCTAATTAATTGAATCAATAGAGTTTTAGGAAAGGAAAACCAGCTCCATGCCGCCGCTTGATGAAAATATGAGTAGGAAACAATTGTTTGACTCTTTACAGTTTTTGTTTAGAGCGAAGATTTCGTATCTACATACTTGGCATGACGGCGGTATCATTCGGTGTTACGCTTTATCTGATGACTCGATTGGTGCTCAAACAAGCGGAGGCAAATCCAGGTTATTTGTGAGATTTGACTAGCTTATGCAAGATTTAGAAGTTACGCCACAAGCTATTGCTGAGCCGGGAATCGCGATTGATGATTTTCTTCACAATTACCTTGAAAAGGAGAGGTTAGTTTACTAAAGTAAATAAAACAATCTGTTTGTTTTAGGTCAGAAAGGTAGTATTTTTGCCGCATGAGGAAAAAGGCTATCGCCGTTCTGCATGATGGAGCCGTTATTGGTGGAAGAATGGTATTGTATTCATTTTATTTCTTCAATCGATTAATCGATTTGGTCGAAAGACAATGTCGTCACGGTTGCCACCGATTTATCCGCTGCTCAGTTTTGGGCTGAAGTCCGAAAGGTTCAAATTTATTAAATTAATCCTTTACGGAGAATTGTAGGTAGAAGATGGACTTGGTATCCCCCTTTCTCAAGGAGTCGCCCTGCAGCTACAACAGACCATTGACGTCTGGAGGTAGTTGAACTGCTTTTGCTTTTAATTTTTCTCAATTTAGGGTTTTGAAATTGACGATTGGAGTCTTCATAATCGTTTTCCTTTTTCTACAGTACGGACGGCTGATTGCAAATCAGTGGCTGCAAAGAAAGCTCCGCCAAAGCAATAGGAATTCTATCAACTGTATACTTAAACTTTTTACTGCCATGATTGTACATCTAGTTTGTAAATAAACGTATTAATTTATCATCTGCTTAATTAATTATCTTTCTGGTAAAAGTCCAATGTTATCTCAAAAATCGGTTCTAAAAGGTCTCTTTAAAAGTCTGTTTTGCGACGGGCAAGTCGAAATTTTCTGTGAACTAGCCTATTTTTAGGAATGTATTGATCTATGTAATGATTTCATTTAGATGACGGACACGATGTGTGAAGCGCTTGCCCAGTTGATGGGCGCTCAGCGGGCAAAAGAAGAAGGTGCTTTTTATCATTCATTCAAATGTAGAGCTTCAATTTTAGGCAGAGATCTGCCTCTATACAACCATCATTCGGTGTGCAGACCATATCTTCTAAGTTGTTGTCCGGCCGATCTTTTGGGGGATACAAGGTTTGCTTATATATTTCTTATTTTTAATTCTAAGGCTTTTTAGGTTGGAAGGGCTTGTTTCTTGTCGAAAGATGCATGAACCGACTCACAAAGCTGACTACGAGAATGCTCAAGCACAGAAGGATCATTTCTATGACATAGAGGTACCCTTTAGATATAGAAAACTTCAACAAATATCTTTAGCTTTACAACATCTTGCAAGGCACAATTCGCTTGGTGGATGGTGAGATTGAGAAGATCAAGAACAAACTCGACCGAGACACGCGAGATGCCGGAGAAAGCGCTGAAATTGTGAAGGTGATAGTGAAATTATTTATTGTTAGTAGCTAAATTAATCTCTGCTTAGATGAAACGCATTGCTGACATTGAAGAGCAAATCAAGTTGCTTGTTGGGGAAATTGAAGAACTTGGCTCGCAGGTTTCTTTATCAATGTTTGATTTAATCTCGAAGATTTTAGGGTAAAGTTGAGGAATCAATGCGCACCGCGAAGAAAGTCGAGGAGTTGGAACAAAAGAAAAACGAATTGAAGGTAAAGCGCAAGCAAAATAGATTTTGATTGAACTTTTGTTTAGAATGAAGGAAAGATGAACATTCCAATGACTTCTCAACGTGAGTTTGATACAGTCTGTTGTTATGGATTGACTTTATATTATTTAATTTATAAATTTTAGAACGTCTTCGTGTTTGTGATGACTGCGGTGCACAGGTATGTGGTATTCAAGAAGCAAAATAAATTTCCTTAAATTTAGCTCAATATCATGGACCATGAATCGCGCTTGGCTGATCATTTTGGTGGCAAGATGCATTTGGGAATGGTTGAAATTCGAGAGCGTTACACCGAGATGGGGGTGAGTTTTTATGGGCGAAGACTTTTCGTTCGACAACACGAAGACTTTGGGTGACCGTCTCGCTTTTAAGGAAATTGTGACGTCGCCCTTCTTGGCCCTCTAATATGGCCACGTAGAGCTTGTTTGCGGTTTTCCATTTTCCCGTGGGTTCACTTCTCGCAAACGATTTAGCACGCGCCTCGACCCAACCCATTAGTGTTTTTGCCTAACATAATCTCAAGAAATTTTTTATAAACTGGGCGGTCGAGGCTTTTCAGCAGAGTTGGTGAGGCTCTTAAAAGTATACCCGGCCGTCACGAGGTCTATAGATGGAAAACACAGCTAAACTGAGAAGTAAAACCCGTATGATAAAGATTGGATATTTAGCTTTAAACTTTATGTAATGTAAGAATTATTTTAGAGCACCATCGATGAGCGTCGTAAGCTTTATGGTGAGAAGAACGGTGACAGTGGAAGGGAGACACTGTAGATTGAGTGAAGGAGGGCAATTTTCTGAGTAAAAATTTTCATGCAAAATAATGGCTAAAGCCTGAAGATACGTTCATCAATTGTCGTTTTGAGCTTTAAAAGGATTACTGTGGATTTCCAGGATGAATTTACGAGAATTGTTCGTCTTTTTAAGTTCTTTATGTGATAGAAATGGGTTTTAAATGAATTTAAATGATTTTCTAAAGAGATTTTCTAAAGAAAAATCTTCAAAATACGATTCCGATTCTTTTGCTCATAAATAAATCTGATTTTTTTTGTTTTTAAAAACAAAGGCATTGAATATCATTAAAAAGTCTTAAATAATATAATAAAATGATGCAGTTTACACTAAATTCATACCTAAATTGATGTTTTAAATGTTGACCCAATTTGCTGCTGATCACCACCAGTGACAATCGATCCTTTGTGTTCATTGTGTTCATTTCATTGCTTTTCTTTTTCTTTACTAAATCTAACCATTTGCATCTTCAACTTTTGATTAAATTAAAAAAATAAATTGATTGAGATATTATTGAGACTTTCAAAGCATTTGAATATTCAAAAAACTGATTCAAGATGAGGCCTTTGCCCATTCTCCTATTCGTTTCCCTGCACGGGATGGCGTTAGCCGGGCACGTACAAATCCCGCTACGCCGCGTCAAGTCGATATGGAGAAATTGATGGAAGAGGTTTGACAAAAGGAAGAAAGTAAATATAAACGTATTAATTATCTTGATCGGATGATTTTTTGAAATACAGCTTCTCTGTAAAACAGTCTCGACTTTTTCACAACCGGAAAAATGTCCGGTTAATTGGCAAGGTTTAAGACTGGCTTTGCTTCGAAAGTGAACATTTAAAAGCCATTTTAAAGCCATCTTTAAGCTATCTTTCCCAAGCTACAGTGCTTGATCGGGTTTCCAAAAAACCATGTTTCAAATTTTTGAATTAAGCACTTCCTTCGCTCGTTTAATTCCGGTGTTACATTTGGATTTAAAATTTTACCCATCACTTTATTGACTTTCTAATCTCGTGCTTTGTTCATTAATTTCCCGCGAATTTCATAAATCCTTGATTGATCATTTTTCGATTTGTCCCTCTCTCTCGCAGACAACACCAAAACTTATTTACCCAGACTTACCGTAACCCTTAGAAAATCGATTTTCCAAAGAAAAACCCCAAAAAATGCTTCTCTGTAAAACGGTATTGTTTGTTTAGTATCTAAATGACTAATTTTAAGCAGTAGTTTTATTTTTTAAACTTTATTTTTAGTCGTTCAAAAAGCAACAAAGCGATCAATTATCAAAACTCCAAGTGGTTGCTGTGAAATCGCCACTTTCAATTGCAAAGCCTAAACTGGAAAAACCTAAAATTGTGCCAGCTCTACCTGTGAAATCTCCACGAGACAGCGAATTTATCGAGCTGTATGTAGAAGGTTGGTTTTCGAGCTTTGTTTTCAAATTGATTTGAAACTTACGATGGATTTTTCAGGTTGTTTACGAGAAAGTCCCGGCGCACTCGGGTGTTTATGGAAATGAGATGGCCGATCGACTTGCCGTGCAAGGAGCCGAACCGGCAAACTGAATTAAATTGTGTAAATCTTTTTGACAAATTTCGAGATTCAAATCGGTGCAATTAAGTCCAACTTTATTGTGATTGCTTTTACGTGATTTCTTGATTCGTGATTCTTGATTTCTTGATTCGTGAGCAGCCAAAAAGGCGCGGAGCTTAGATTGCGTGGAAAACGTTGGTGAGCCTTTTCCGCTGGTCAATCCAATAATCAAAATCTTTAGATTTAGAATAAAGTCCATGAGGGAAACGAGCGAAAAACTTGAGTGAAACCTTCAAAAACTTGATAATGCCACAAAAATGAGAAACCTAAAGGGTAGAGTCTTAAAATAACCGACTATGAAAATTAAAAAGACTAATAAATTAGCATAACAGCTTAATCTTTTATTTTTATCCACTTTATCCATATCTTTATCGAATCAAATTCTAAACTTTCTTCTAACTACAGTGCTTGATCTCACTTCGATAGATTCTAATAAGCACTTTTCGAGATTACGAGGAATTTAGACGACGCTCTCGGTGCACTACTATTAGAGAAAATACGGTAATCCGTTTGATCGTTTGATAAAAGGTGTCCCTTTTTCTAATCTTATTTATTTTGTATCTAATCTATTGACTTTTTGCCTTTTTCTGTGTGATTTCACAAAAGATATCTAAAGATATAAAAAGTGGATGAATAAATTCAGCATAACTGAGCGAAAGTGAACATTTAAAAGCCATTTTAAAGCCATCTTTAAGCTATCTTTCCCAAGCTACAGTGCTTGATCGGGTTTTTTTAAAAAAACCATGTTTCAAATTTTTGAATTAAGCACTTCCTTCGCTCGTTTAATTCCGGTGTTACATTTGGATTTCAAATTTTACCCATCACTTTATTGACTTTCTAATCTCAATTTTGTTCATTCATTTCATAAATCCTTGATTGATCATTTTTCGATTTGTCCCTCTCTCTCGCAGACAACACCAAAACGTATTTACCCAGACTTACCGTAACCCTTAGAAAATCGATTTTCCAAAGAAAAACCCCAAAAAATGCCGAAATCTCAAGAAAAAGACCAAAAATAGCAGAAATTTTGGATTTTCGCATCATCTTATCTCTCCAATTTGAAACCCGATTTTTTTCTGTCAAATATTTTCCGTTTTTTCCAAGAGACTCATGTTTTTGTGGTGTTTAAAAGGCAAAAATGAATAGATTTTAGTAAAGAGTCAAGGTTTTCGGTAATGAATGAATGCAAAATGGCACAAGAAAAGCCTCAACTGAAAACTCATTTTGCTCTCCAAATCGAGCACTTTGAAACAAAGAAATTTCAGATCAAACTTAATTGCAAGTTTTAGCACATTTTAGAATATTCAGTGATCAGAATTTTGATATATTTTGATATTTTGATAATTTTGATATATTTTTGAAAACGGATCAAAAAGAACAAGTTTCAAAGTTGGTCTTAAGATGCAAGAGGTTGAAGATCTAATGAGATTTGCTAGTGTTCAGCTTCAGCTTCGAAAGTCAACCCGGAACCAGCGTACCGAATTATCAAACTCGCGTCGGATTGCACGCCGAGTTTTTGCAATTTAATCATAATTGCTCTAGCAATTGTTTACTTGTTTACTTACAGGCAACGGCATTGACCTTTCAGCCTTTCAAAAAGCGGTAGTTTCCTTGAAGATACTTTATGTTGATGATCCATCATTATCAATATTAGATTCGAAATCGAATCATCTCTGCAAATTTGGTTTTTAGTAGTATTGCTGATTCTTCTTAAAAATATTTTGAAACTTTAACTTTCTCAGATCCATCATTCTTCTTCGCCAGTAAGCTCAACTGGGTGAGTAGATCCATCGGGTACCTAATATCAAGGCTATGAAACACCAAATCCAAATCTGGTACCAGCTTTGACTTTTTGTGAAAAACTGATGCCAGATTCTTTTCTTTATCAAAAAGAACATTAGAACATTCAAAGTTTTTGATGTGAAATGTGATTGAGCCAAAGTAATGATTGATAGGCACATTGTAGCAAAGAAAGATCAACCGACAAACATGAAGTGGCAATACAAAGAAGAGAACAACTTCGAGAAGCGACGCGCTGAGGGGGACAAAATCCGCAGAAAGTACCCGGATAGGATTCCAGTGAGTGAAAAGGGTACGGTACATAGTACCAAAGAAAGTATAGACCGTATCTAGGATATAGCAGTTAGCACAGTACCCTAAAGTGCTTGTTGTTTCTTAGAATATCCCTAGTAGCTCCTACTGGTTTTATCGAACAAAACCTAAAGATTCACGCAATTTTTGCGATTTCAAAACCCAAGTTTCAAAGTGTACACTTTAGGAAAGGAAAGCTTAGGAAAGGAAAGCTTTCACCTGAACTCAAAGAACTCAAAAAATCAGTCTCTGTTCTCTGAAAAAAATCAGTTTCACTTTTGATAGTGTCAACTCGATTTCTTCGATTAATGACGCCTTCAAATGAATCTAGTAGAAAGAAAATGGCCTTGTGGCTCTTAAGGGCACAAATTTCGGGTAGAAATTCTTTTGAAATTATTTAATTAGCTAATTTTATTTAGTATACAAATGTAAGTCTTTAAAGTCATCTACAATGAAAAAAAACCCTTTTGAGAGATTTTTAAAGTCAATGATTCAACTTCTCTCACTAGAATTCCTATTTTATAAAGTTAAGCTTCCCCGATTTACTCTTTTCTTAATAACTTAACGGGAAATGCGAGAAATTAAGTGCACCAAAAAGAATGTGTTTAAAGGTATTCGAAGAGCACAAAGTGCACCTCTGTATGAGTCAAACAAAGTTCTCTCCTCTCTCAGCTTTCCCAACCTCCCCCCTCCAAAAAGGTCTCTTCTCCCTTCCGTAGTTTCTAGTATTTCTCTCCCTTTCCCTATGATGAGGTGAAGATTCACGATGGATCGCTGAGTCCGGAAGAGATTGAGGCAAGGCAGTTGGAGGGGAAATCGAGAAGAAAATGGAATAGAATTTTTAGGAATAGATTTTAGTAGGTCCATCCCTTGTCAAGATCCAAGCTTCTTTCTCTACTTACTGTAGGTGTACTCGAAAGTCGCTTGCACTTTTCCTTGTCTCGAATAAACCATTAACGGGATTTCGTTGCTCTCTGAGACGAGTCGCCGCAATTGTGATTCAGCACAGCAAAATCTGAAAGGTTTATGAAGTTGGGTTTCAAGTTGATCGGCTTGAGCATGGTAAATAATGATAATCATTTGGCTCAACGAAAGAGTTCACAATTTCTGCTCCGGATCAGCCAAAGTCTGAAGTTTAATTTTGGCAGCTGATTTAAATCTAATCAATAAAAACCAAACGAAATAATAGAATCTGAAAGGTTTAAAAAATTCGGCTTCGAGATGGGCAAGTTCTGAGTGAGTAAGTTGAATGTTAATTTTGTTCGTAAACAAAGATTCGCCTGAATATCTAATCCTGA